CGAAATACAGGCATGCACCACTAAAAATACAATTCCAGCATTTGGACAAAATAATTACTCCAATAATGCTGTGCTATTTTTAGAAAAATATATATATATTTTTTTTAATCTTCAGTTCAAAATGATTTCGAAATCATTATTATTAATTATGAAAATGATCTAGATGAAACATTATGAATATTTTTGATGAAAACATGTAGGAACAATGGTCATCAGAATTTTTTTCCCCTCCACCTTTCTTTTTTTTCCACTATATTATATAGACCAAATTCACAACTGGCGGCTGTGTCGCCATCGTCATTTACCTTTGGAGCCAAATTAACAATTCGTTAGAAATGATTAATATACATAATACACATATGAAACGTACTTTCAAACAAATGTTAAGTTTCTTCTACTGGCATGGAAGCCGATGTGGGAATATGGCATTCATTAAAAATCTCGGTACTTACGTATTAACGCAACCAGGCCAAAATTCGCATAAATTGCGAAATTTGGCGACCCTACTTACGGCAACCCTACGTGTTATACGTAGTTTTGTAAAAAGAGCATGTGGAGATTCACAAAATTTTCCTTCATTTTCGTGCAAATTTTTGTAATTTATGAGAAAATAGCAGCGTACACGGATAAAGTCAAGAGTGTGTGCAATGCCATTTTTGTGCAATTCTGGGATGTTTTTTTAAGTAAAAATAAGTCGACGTGTACATGGTTATGGCGAATACGGTTTTCAATCAGTGCTAAAACAACAGCCAAAAGATTTCCGCCGAAAAAATAATTCTGCAACTTATTCAAATTCGAAACCGGAAGGGTTTAATTGCTATTTTATATTTTAAAACAAAATAATACAAAAAACTGTATTAAAAATTACTTGTAATTAATAAATGTACGTTTTCTTTCTATTCATACTTTTTTACTCAAACTTAGAAATAGCGCCAACCTGGTTGCGATAATACGTAAGTACCAAAATCTCTTCCGACTCTTCTCTGCGTTTCGCCAGCTTTCCATAGTAATTTTAATGACGTTAAAATCACTATGAATATAATCCAACCACGGAAGGTTGGGCGTTCTTCTGACTCAACTTCCCCATTGGTTTGTAATTAACAATTTTTAATATCGGATAATAAATATTCATTAGGTTAATGTGATCAAATTCCGTTGTGTTTATTTCAACGTATTTGATAACACTTTTTTCATACGTTTCGCTGTTACAACAATGTCGCTACATCGTCGCTGTTTACAGCATCAATGATTTTTTTTAAGACGCTCTTTTCGAATACAACAGAGGCCAGTTGCGAATCGTGTAATTATTGTGTAGGACAAGGGTTCTCAATCGGGGGCATGCAGTCAACCTTTTATTTGTTTTTAAGTATTTTAGTTTATGAATACAAGAAACTGGTTTTATTCAAGTTTTGGTACTTATCAATATTTATTACGGTCATTATCACCAATATCAGAATATTAGGGTTCAACGATTTTATTCACTTAACCACAGACTCAAATACACAGAAAAGGTTAGGTTAGGTTATTTAATTACGGCAAAGCCTCGAGGGCTATCTGCCTAAGGGGAGGGAGGACTTTCTAAGGAAAACTGGCTCGTATACCGTCACACATGGGGAAAACCACGAAAACACCCATGCAGCCAGCCTGTTCGCGGGTTTCGAACCTCGGACTGAACTACCAGTGTTCAGCGACTTTACCGCTCAGCCGCTGGTGGGCAATTCACAGAAAAGAGTTATTAAGTCTCAACATGACGACAAACATTAAGTTCCTCCACGGGCCGTCCCAAGCGATACCCCGAGTTAAAAATGAGCTTAAGATGCTCATTCTACTCTAGGGACCCCGTACGCTTACCAACAGCATTCTTGCATTCTTTTCAAGTGAAATCCTTTCATCCGGCAGATACTCACTACATAACTGACAGGGATGACCAATGAAGAGGGAGCTCGTACACCAGGAAGGTAAAAATGCAATAGTGTAATATCCCCCCCCCACACACACACTCACCGCACATGGTTGCTGCATACCTAAAATCATTGAGATTACAAAGTGCTTGAGGTAGAAAGATAAAAATCTTTTAAAGCTTCTACCACTAGGAATACAATGGGTACGAGAATTATGCAAAAAAAAAAAAAAAAAAAAAAAAAAAAAAAAGATATCTGAAAGGTTTCAAATTTTAAATTACGTCCCAAGGGGCGCTTTTTTAACATTTTGTCTGTTACCTTTATTTATTCAATATCACGTTCTTCGCACTTAAACCATAAAATTCAGTTCAAGAGGAACATCGCAAAATAGTTTTAAATTAAGCATATCTTTAGAATTTCCGATACAGTCTCACGCTCTGGAGATAAAAAAAATGTTTTTTCTGTACAACGTCGCCATCGTTCGCTTTGAAATCCTTGAGTTTGTTAATCAAAGATTCGTTAGTTTCATAAAATATGAAATTGGTAATAAAACAAATCCCAAATTTCAAATTTGGGCTTCTACATGCCCATTCGCAGTAGGATTACGTCATTCAAAACTCGATGGCTGTATGTACCGTTGTTTTATCACAATGCGACAAATAGATATACATTTATGCATATTTTTCATTATTTAATTTCTTCAAATATAATGCAGGACTCTAACATTGGGTGGCAAAGTGAAACGGACATTTATAGTGAACCAACGCACAATCGCAAAACGAAAACAATAGTCCTTCAGGGTCAAAGCCGCTTTGGGCTAAAGAAATGATTCCTGCATAAAATGCTTTCACGCACTTTTCAGAACATTCTCATTTTTAAATCCACAAAGCATCCAGCTTAATTCCTCGCTGTTCTTCAATCAAACCTGTGAGGGAGATTGAGGTTCAAAGGATGGGAGGATTCATCAAGAAGTCTGAGCCTGCAAGCTGTTTGCTGACAAGAGGTTCACCATGGAACCCAAAGGTCCATTTCATCAACTCGCAGGATTCGGTTGACCTTCACCTTATTAAATGAGTTCATCGGCCCACTGGCAAGCAGCTTTCCCTTTCCACGCCTGCTCCCATCCAAGTGAAGTTCATCAATCCTTTTCACACTTTCTCAACAGAGATCTCGAGTTTGGGGTTCAGTCCTCCCAAGCGTCGAGACAAGACACGAGTCGGGCGTACCTCCAAATTTTATCTTGGAAGACAGTGCCACGAACTTCTGAATTGAAATTTTTTTTCTACATTCATTGTGAAAGGTGAAGATCTCTACCAATCAGCGGCATTCGTTAGAAAGGAAAAAATAACGACTTTAAAACTCGGTTGCAATGATAACATCTTCTGAAGAATTACACGCCTCTGTACCTACCTAGAAGGCAATTTTAAGCGTTCCTAGTTTTAGTAGTTTAAATTGCAGATTAACTTTTTTACGTTATTTTCTATTTAATCGTAATTGAAACAAAACAAAACAAAACACACACACACACACACACAAAAAAAAAAAAAAAAAAAAAAAAAAAAAGATTCATCATATAGCTGTAATTTTTCTAATTAGCAATAACCGAATTTTCCACTTCGTTAATGAAGGTGAAATTTTAAAATGAGATTCAATAGTTTCATATACATGTAAATTCTTCGAAGCATATTTCGAAATGTGCAGTTATTATGATTTCATCACCTATTCACGTAAAGGTGAAGTAATAAAAAGTTAAACACATTTGTTGAAAAATTACTTCACTTGCGGTTTATTTCAACATAATGCTATATACACATGCATTTAATGTAAATACCCGTAAATAGACTTTTGAAGAATAATAGATATTTCAACTGCACACTCCTCTAATAAAAACGCTTTTACAGAATTACAAAAAAAAAAAAAAAAAAAAAAAAAAAAAAAAAAAAAGAAAGAAAGAAAGAAACAACCTGAAAGCTTTCATATTTTATATTACGCCCAAAGGAGCATTTTTTTAATGTTTTGTGTGTTACATTTGTTTATTAAATATCACGCTCTTCGCATTTATAACATAAAATTCAGTTTAACAGCAATATCACAAAATATTTAAAAAGATAATATCCTTAGAATTTCCAATACACAGTCTCGCGCTCTGGAGATGAAATTGCTTTTTCTTTCTACAGTACAGTGTTGCCAATTGCTCGCTTTGAAATCCTTGAATTTGTTAATAAAAAATTCCTTAAAGTTTTACAAAATATGAAACAGATAATAAAACAAACTCCAAATTTGAGCTTCCAGATGCCCATATTTGAGTGGAGGATTACGTTATTCAAAACCGGATTCTCTAGGTACCGTTGTTTTTTCTCAGTGTGAGAAACATACATACATTCATGCAGACTCTTCATTATTTAATTTCTTTAAATATTAATACAGGGCGATAATATTCAGTGGCAACAATTTGAAAAGTGAAACAATGCTTGTAGTAAATCAACGCAAAATGCCAAAACGAAATAATAGTAAATTTATAGTAATAAATAATAGTATAGTAATAATAATAGTAAATAAATTAATAGTCGTAATGGGCAAGTTGTCCCTTTGGACTAAATATAATTTTAATATAATGCAGGGCTTTGATATTTGATAGCAACAATTTGAAATGAAACGTAGTTTATAGTGAACCAGGGCAAAATGGCAAAACGAAATTAAGAGCACTTCTGGGCAAATTGCAAAAATTAAATAACATATTTCTTACTTTTCGAAGTTGCCCACCCCTCCAAAAAAAAAAAAAAAAAAAAAACACGCTTTTAACCTTAAAAAATTTGTGAGAATAAAGAAAGTAATAATGGATGGTAGGATACATTTTAGAATATTTTTCAGCCACGAAACAGAGGGAAAATCAACTGCTTAGCATGCATAGTAGAAGTCTGATAATTAACGATACAAGCAACGCACGGCAAACTAATTTGCAGATACAATCAGCTTAATAATAATTCATATAGCTACTAAAAACAGTATTTATTGTTAGGCTAATCGAATTAAATATTGCAATCAAGAAGAAATTTGATGATTGATGCGGGGAAGAGAAAAAAACATTGCATCGCTTACCAACTCCCGGGAGGTACAACTAAACTTCATCTTCAAGTCGTTCCACTGTTTCAGAGCAATTTCCAAATCCGCACTGTCAAATATCTTCATCGAACAATCTGCGGACTTGCACATACTAGCTTTAGATTGACAACTATCCACTCGGGAATCCACCGCTACACAACGCCAAGCCAAATGCACCTTGTATTCCAAAGCAGAATCACGCCAGCAAAAGCGTTCGTCGAAAATCTACAATTTGATAAGTTTTGTGAAAAAAAAGCTATTTTGAAACGCTACTCAGTGTTCGATATCATTTCTGCAGCGATACGTCAATATCAAACCTAACATATCTGTGCATCTGTCTCTGCAGACGACAGAGAATTCGGTCAGGGATAGATAGGACTGCTACACGTTTTTCTCAGCTTTTGATCAGAAATGTTGCCAAGCTATTCAATTACTGCGCCAAGTTGGCGACTATTATTTTCAAAACATTCTATCGAATTGAGGAAGATGCATTTTTCCGTGTGTATAACAATATGTAATAGGAAAATTGTTTTAAATATTGAAAAAGAAAAAGAAATTAATATTAAGAAATAATTCAGGTCTAAATTCTTAAACAGAACAGCTTCACAGAATTTTTTATTTACCGTAAAATATTTCTTTCATTTTATGAAAAATAAAAGGTTAGCTTTTTAGTTGAGATGTAATCTCCTATTAACTTCACGGCAGTTTTTGGGAGATATTGAAGTATTCAGTGAAGTTTAGTACGTAAAATTTTAATGAATAAATAATAAAATTACGCAATGCCTGCGATTCTTTAAAAATGTGCAAAATAGCAACATATAAGACGCTACATGGGAAAGTAATTAAAATATTACATTTCATAATACATATACAATTTTGATTACGATTATGATTTCGATTAAAAGTTTTATTGCAAGAGATTTGAATTTTTTGTAAGATTTTGACTGCAGTTTATTGCACTTCGTACGTACTCAAAATTTTACTTATGAAATTTAGCTGTAGGTGTAGATATTTAAATAATAATAAAAAAAAAAAAAAAAAAAAAAAAAAATCTGAAATGTTTCAGATTTTAAATTACGTCCAAAGGGGCGTTTTTTAACATTTTGTGTGTTACCTTTCTTTATTAATTCCATGTTCCTAGCACTTAAACCATAAATCCAGTGCAACAGCAATATCGCAAAATAGTTTTAAAACGAGCATATCTTTAGAATTTCCGATACAGAGACTCACGCGCTGGAGATAAAATGTTTTTTTTTCTGCACAACGTTGCCATTGCTCGCTTGAAATCCTTGAGTTTGTTAATCAAAAATTCGTCAAAGTTTTAAAAAATAGGAAATCGATCATAAACAAATTTCAAATTTCAAATTTGGTCTTCCATGCTCATATTCGTTGGAGGATTACGTTATTCAAAATTCGATGACTCTATGTACCGTTATTTTATGACAATGTGAGAAATATACATACATTTACGCAGATTTTCATTATTTAATTTCTTCAAATATAATGCAGGACTCTAAACATTTTATGGCAACGTTGAAAAGTGAACCGACATTTATCCGTCCGACGCAAAATGCCAAAACGAAACTAATAGTCCTTCGGGATTCAAATCCCTTTGGACTAATAAACTGATTGTAACTAAATGTTGAATTAAATGTTAAAAATATTTTTAAAAATCTTTTAAATATTGAAATTCCTATTTTAAAAAAATTCCAAAACAGAAATATTTTTCCCATTTGTGCTTTGGAAAGAGAATTATTCAGGTGATATTTTAATTTTTTATCATCAGTCAGATTTTATTAGTGCACAAATCTCCTATCATCATCAAATCAAAGTAATTCTGTTTCACTTGAACAAAAAGCTGAGATTTTCATTTTAGATGGAAATCGGATGACAGAATTCTTTTTAAAATATTTTTTAAATTGTTGCCATTTTAAATTCCCTACACTGAAATTTTTACCTTTATAGTATTTTCTACAATATTTCAGAAACAAAACATTGAAATTAATTTAAAGTTTTTTTTGAAGGGGAGAGGTGGCATGGGACCACGAAACGCGTTATCTCATAATGTTTTTAGATATCATATTAAATGGAAAACATAACATCGTAAAAATGACTATCAGACACATGAGCATAAAATAAAACTCTTCTAGGTTAAGTTATTCGGATATGGTAAAGCATGCAAGAGCTATCTGCCTAAGAGGACAGATGCCTTCGGGGAGGACTTTATTAAGGAAACTGGAACATATTCATGTCTTAGAGAGAATCCCAACAACTAGCCCTGCAGCCGACCCGTTCGCCTTGTCGGACAAAGTCGAACTACTAGTATTCAGCGGTCTTAAGTTCTTGGCCACTAGGTGGGGCAGCAATCTGAGGAAAGTACTGAAAGAGGAGGAAATGTACAGAATAACAACAGTGACAAATTATGGCACCAATGATATCTGTGATGTGCTTTTATTTGAACAGTAGACATAGTTAGCATGTAATTCAGTTATTTAAGCATTATACAGTAATAATAATAACTTCTAACCGATTCTTTTACGCGAGTTTTCAATGTCACTGCTCCCGTTCTCTCGTAAACATTGTCTTTTACTGCAATTTATAACTCAGTTTCTTCATTTCTAATGATGTTCATTCTTCCATTATTTTACGCTGCAATTTTTAGACCAAAAGAGTTCTTAGTCACGAAACAGGATTTCGTGTTGATTAGCTTTAAATGTCGTCCTCTGTAAAAGCGTTGCTTCATTTTTTCATTCGAATTTATTGTTATTGGACAAAACGTAAAATAGTTATCCTTCAAATTTAATCTGTCTGTTATTGATTAAGAAACTAAGCAATTTGACGACAAAATAGATGCAGTTTTTAATATTATTATTGTTTTATTTTTTAATCTGACTGATGAAAAATTTTTTAATCTGGTTGATTTATCAGGAATTAAAAGGCATCTAATTTATGATATATGTAATTAAAAAGCATTAAATGTTTTTTTTAATATATAAAATTACATGATATGTTTTTTTTGCACTTTTAAAGTATAGAGAAGATACAAAACGTCCCCATGTTAGTTTAAAAGAATATTCTTGTAGTATCCTGGCCCACCAGCGGCCGAGCAGTAAAGACGCTGAACACTGGTAGTTGCGTCCGAGGTTCGAATCCCGCGAACGTGCTGGCTGCATCGGCGCTTTCGTGGTTTTCCCCATGTGTAACGTGTATACGAGCCAGTTTTCCTTAGAAAGTCCTCCACGAAGGCATCCCTCCCTTTAGGTAGATATCCCTAGTGTGCTTTGCCATAATTGAATAACCCTATCCCATGTAGTATCCTATAAAATGATACGCTATTTTTCCCTGAGACTTCTCTTTTGATAATCTCTGCTGATTAACTATATCAAATTTTAAAATAATTCTTTCGGACGAGAAGATGCCCTATAAAGATCTATGCAGTGGTTCTCAACCTTTTAACTACCACGTAACCATCTAAACAAAAATTGAAAACCTGTAGTACCACCACTACAAAGTATTACTACCACCACCACTCTTGACAAAGCTCAGATCGCATAAATTTACGAGTGTTAGAGAAAAAACTCAGTCAGGATGCTGGGGTTCTAATTTTTGAACTTAATAGTTAAAAATACTTTATTTCTTTGCGTACGACCTATTTTTCTCTTGCGTATCATCAGTGGTACGCGTACCACCGGTTGAGAACCCCTGATCTATGGTATTTTTACACGCTTACTTGCATTAATTTATATTACGTTAACTTCATATATCTGTAATTGATAATGAACTCTCTCTAAACGACCTTCCATTTTTCCAGATGATGGCGATCTTTCACGGACAGTCAGTCGTAGAATTATTTAAAAGACCTTATAAAAATATATTTATCTTTGTAATAAATTAAACTAATAGCTTATTCAAGTGACTTGATTTTATGATTCAAAAGGCGTTTAAATCTTGGGAACAATGGATCGCAAAACATTTCACTAGATACTTCCTTAAGATTGAAATTTTTTAAAAATAATAAAAGCACATCAGATAATAATGATAGTATGTTACATAATAATGCAAAAGTAAGGTAATAAAAGTAGAAATAAATCATTTGATTATTGAGTAAAGAAATTTTATCTGTCTAAATTCTCTCGTGTTTTATTTCCTTATTTATTTATTAGTCCAAAGGGCCTTATCCCAGGAGGGTTATTAATTTCGCTTTGGCATTTTGCGTTGGTTCACTATAAATGTCAGTTCACTTTTCAAATTGTTACCACCAAATATTAGAGCCCTGCGTTATATTTAAATAAATTTAATAATGAAGAATCTGCATCAATGTATGTATGTTTCTCGCATTATGATAAAACAATGGTACCGAGAGCCATCAAATTTTGAATAACGTAATTTTCCACTGAATATGGGCATCTGGAAGCCCGAATTTCGAATTTGTTTTATTATAGATTTCATATTTTGTAAAACTTTAATGAATTTTTGATTAAGAAACTCAACGATTTCAAAGCGCGCAATGGCAACACTGTACGGAAAAAAAAAAAAAAATTATCTCCAGCGCGCGAGACTGTGTATCGGAAATTCTAAAGATATGCTCATGCGATGTTGCTGTTGAATTGAATTTTAGGGTATAAGTGCGAAGAACATAATATTTAATAAATAAAGGTAGCACACAAAACGTTAAAAAAAACGCCCCTTTGAGTGTAACGTAAAATATGAAAGCTTTCAGATTTTATTTATCATTTTTTTACACTGTACGTTTATAAAGTTTTATAACTATCTTTTTATAAATTTCACAAAGCCAGACAAACCATAATTGACAACATTTATTAAAAATGACATCTCAGATACCTTCACCTAAAATATCGTCTGTTTACGCATAGAATTTTTGGGCAATTAATCGTTTGCTTCGATTCAAGGAACGAATGTTGTCATGGATAGAAAGCACAAAATAGAAATAAAATTCTTTTGTAAGAGGGGAAAAACAGCAACGCAGACATTTAAAATGCTGTATAAAATATTATTCACTAATACAAACGATTTTGTGATGTACTCTCATGATTTCATGATGCACTATTTATTAACTCAGGAGAGGTCGTTCTTCGCGGTCTGGAAAGAATTAGAGCATCGAAAAGAATAACTGATGCTAAAAGTCATCACCTGTCTCTTCGAAAGCTGAGAGTTTCTAAAATTATCGTGGAAGATCTTGAAGGTAATAGGGAAATTGTTCTCGTTTTCTGGTGCAAGATAATATTCCGTCACAGAATTCTATTCTCGTCAAACAGTTTCTAGCAAAGGAAATGTTACAATTCTCACCCGCCTTATTCACAAAAATTGGCACTTGTAGACTATT